TTTTAAATAGCAAAGCAATACTCCAGTACAAGTCAAGACTGCCATTAAACACCTTACAAAAGTATAAGCAACAGAGTATACTTAAAAAATTAGGAGTTACAGTATTAATCTTGCAGCTGAATGGCAGCTGTAGGAGTCATATTGTTATATTAGTGTTTGTGCTCTATTGACAACCATTTCTTGGAAGTGCCTGAGGCTCCCACTGAAATGAGTTCACGGCTTTACGCTCTCTGACGCTGCTGATGGACAGATCGGTTGATCCCATTTAGAGCATTTATTTAGAAGAGGTTGCAGGGTAGTTCAATTGGAGATTGTAATTGCTTTTGAGCTATATCTGCTTTCTTTGTCTGTGTTCCTGTAGTTTAAACTTTATGTGAATGAACTGTTTATGTGTTTTAAAATATTGTGTGTATTTAGCTCAAACACTTTTATGCTACTGACAAAGCCAGGGCTCTGTCAGGAAAGATATTTAGTCATTTCAATGTGATCTACCTGGTTAAATAAAGGTCTAATATTTAAATAATATCACTCAAGTGTTATTATCACCGAGTCATAAACATGGAAGACACATTTTAATGCTATTGCTAGTCAAAGCTTATTTTAACAGCTTCACATACTGCTGGGTAGTTTGTTGTGTTTTCTTAACCATCTGTTTGTGTAAGAAAAATACAATTCATGTGCAAAGTAAACAGTAACAATAGATATAAAAAAAAACAGTTGAGTATAACGTGACTGTAAAGGGGCACCATGGTATCCCGAGTTAAACACGTTTTGCCACTTCTTTACAAAACGTTCCATTCAACAAGTTGCAGCATGACACAGCGGTGACTGTCATGGGAATAAACCATGATGCAATCCATTGTCAGATTTCTTGGCATGCTCTTTTTCTTGCCGCCTGCATGATCATGTCAACGTTGTGTTTCAGGACTCGTACAGAAAGCAGGTGGTGATCGATGGAGAGACTTGCCTGCTGGACATCCTGGACACTGCGGGTCAGGAGGAGTACAGCGCCATGAGGGACCAGTACATGAGGACAGGAGAGGGCTTCCTCTGTGTGTTCGCCCTCAACAACATCAAGTCCTTCGAGGACGTTCACCTCTACAGGTACTAGATACTTTGGGCTTTACCCAGTGCATATCGCCATACTGTAGATAGCTGAACAAAGGAGCTGAAACAACACTGTGAGAGAAGGACTGTTAGTGCATTCCATTTCAATGGTGTGTGTTTGACTTGGCACAATTAGTGTTTTAGATGCGCCTAGCATACTTTCAGATGTGAGTAGTGTGCTAGTTCAGACAGTGTAGCAGTACAAAGGCAACTTCCTGATGAGCAGGAACTGTAATTATCTGTACCGCATATCTGCTGAATATGGTGAGTTCAATGGGTCAAATGCACACTACAATCTTGTTTGCAAATGCATGAACTGATCCAAATATATAAAGCAACACTTGACTGCAACTAATGTTATGTTAATAAGCGATTAACCTGCAGATTATTTTCTAGATTTATCGTTTGGTCTGTCGTCCAAATGATAAATATGTCAAAGACAATAAAAATAAAAAGTCCATCTAAGTGTTTCAAAACCAAGGTTATGTATTTGAATAGCTTGTTTTCTCATTCCAAAGTCCCAAAGATATCCAATTCAATATAGTATATATAAAAAAGCAGGACATTTCCATAGAAAAATAGCATTGTTGGCATGAAAAGTTACCTCAACAATTAATGAATTATCAGAATAGTTGGGGGTTATTTTTCTGTCGATCGATTTAAAAACACAGACACTGATGAAAATATGAGTTGTTGCAGAGATAAAAGTCAGTTGTCCACAGATGCTTTTTGTGTGTGCCTCCTCCTCAGAGAGCAGATCAACAGGGTGAAGGACAGCGACAGTGTCCCCATGGTGCTGGTGGGGAATAAGAGCGACCTGGGAACCCGCACTGTGGAGTCCCGGCAGGCGCAGGAACTCGCACGAAGCTACGGAGTCCCGTTCGTCGAGACCTCCGCCAAAACCAGACAGGTACGTAGGGTGTATGAACGGTTAATGTGTTTAAAATATTGTGTGTATTTAGCTTAAACACTTGTATGCTAATGACAAAGCCAGGGCTCTGTCATGAAATATATTTTGTCATTTCAATGTGACCTACCTAGTTAAATAAGGATCTAATATTTAAATAATGTAGATTGCACTCAAGTATTATTATTATTACTGAGTCATAAACATGGAACACACATTTTAATGTTATTGCTAATCAAAGTTTATTTTAACAGCTCCATATACTGCTGGGTATTTTGATGTGTTTTCTTAACCATCTGTTTGTGTATGAACAATACAATTATTGTGGAAAGATGCTCATTTGCAGTCTGCAATGATGCATGCAAGAGCCTCTAGGTTCTGTAGGAACGCTGTCCATAACCAAAGGTCCAAATCATTACACATTACATTTTTTGAGACAAATATTTCTTTGTCTCTGTTTTGCAGGGTGTGGAAGAAGCTTTCTATTCACTAGTACGGGAAATTAGAAAGTATAAGGAGACCAACCGCAGCAACAAGAAGAGCAAGAAGAGCACGCAGAGACGTTGCACTATACTATAGCAAAACACACACACACACACACACAGTAGCACATCCTTTATCGCACTTGTTTCATGCTTGCCCTAACACACTGCACCTCCTCTGTCACGTTGGATGGAGATGGCATATCTCCAGACAGGAAAGCAGACGTGGCAAAATCCATTTTCACTGCTGTCTAAGTTTCCATTTACAATATGCCACCACAACGCTGTAAATTCAGTATTCATTTTTTTTCAGTTTTGTGAACAAACATCTAGAAACTGCAGTTTTAGGCGAGTTTAGTTAAGTTTGGCAGACTTCGTTGGAGTCTGGGATAAAAAGATTGATTTGTCTGTAAAGATATTTCTCTTTGACTTGTGATTTTTGTCCAGCCAGTGTTTTTACAGCTCCTGTTGACGACACAGCGGTGCAGAGAGTACTTTGCACATTCAGTCCAAATCTCCAATATTGTTCTAGGACTCTCTGCGTAGGTTGGTTTTTTGATCACTCGGTACACATCTGTTTTTATGGAGTCCTACATGGAAATATATTGACCAGTACAATGTTTACTGTGAAAGGGGTTAGGGTTATTTGCTTCTAGATGATTGGTCAATACTTTGGTAAATGTTTGTTGTCTTCCCCTTGAGGTTTTTAAAAGGTTAGAGCGTCCTGTGGGGCTTCAAACACATCAGCAGTATTTTTGTCTCACCATATATCCAATGAAAATGCTGTATCATGATAGGATCACCACATTAACAAAGCCTCAAAACTGTGTTCCAGTCTCCTAGGTGCACTTTATTCATTTCTATCTAGGTAAAGTTTACTCAGGAATATGGTGTTTTTTTTTTTATAGGAATAACAGACTGAAAGCTGTGTCAAATGCTTGGTTGAGATGTGTGTGTCCATCATTAGCTTACTGTTTGAAGTGTCAGCCCTGCTGTTTGTTCCACACTGTATTCCAAAGTACACTTTTTTTTTAATGCACATTTTGTTATGTCACAGTGTTTCTGGTGGTTTAGTTGTACTACATGCGACATTTTAACCACACTGGTGAAGAAACGGGTGTTTACCTCGGCTTCTCTTCAGAGCTCACACACAGAAACAGTCCTGTTAACTAATCATGCTTCATAAGTGAAATAAAGGTTGAGGAATATCTGGATAGCACTCTGGTCTGAACACACGAGACAGGATGGATCTTTAACCCTTTAGGTACTGATTTTGCCTTAAAACAGCACAGCAGTACAGTTAACCCAATAATGTGTCAGAAGAGGTGTGTGTTCCCAGTATTGGGCCTTCAGATCATTCATTTATCATTAAGGATATTCAATAGGGCATTTTTGTTATAGCCGTGTGTGTCCTCTTTGGTATAACTGTCACCTAAATGAAATGGATAGTTAAACTTCTATTTTTGAAGCATTAAAAAAACAGCATTCCCCAATTAAAAAACGTCTGCATCAACAAACTGCTGTCCACTTATTCATTAAGTGTTATGCGCTAACCTCAGTTAGCATCCTGCTAGCTGAAGTCAATTAATCCATGAAGGGTCTCTAGCTATGGTGTTTAACCAGCAGCGTCTCATTGTCTGGACTTTCACTGACAGCTGTTTAAATCTGTAATGAACAAGTAAATGTCTTCAGCTTTAACGTCTCGTCTGTTTTGTTTATCCAACGTTGATCTTTGCTGGTTAAGATTGAATGTGTGGTCAAAAAAAGAAATGCAGGACACAAGAATTTACCGCCAACACACTAACAGCCGTGGAAAAAGTTCTCACATCCTCTAAAGTAAAAGTACTAATGCCACAGTCTAAACGTACACCACAAGTAAAAGTATCAAAGGTATGATCAGCTAAATGTACTCAAGTATCACAAGTAGAGTGTCAAATACATGTAGTGCAGTTAAAGTACAATAATTCCCTCTGAAATGTAGAAGTACGAAGTAGCAGGACATGGAAATACTCAAGTAAAGTACAAGTAACCCAAAATAAGTACAATACGTGAGTAAATCTACTTGTTTCCATTCCACCACTGCACACTAAGAAGTGTAGTGCTTAAACGCCACGCCCGCTTTGTAATTACTGATAATACTTGAAAGATAATGTAATCTTTCAAGAGAGAAAACTAGTTCCCCACTCAGTTTGTGCGATCAAACGTTAACAATCAGGGCTTTAGTTGTGAGGTATCAAACCAGTTAGGGGATGTGGTTTTTGAGGTATGACTGGCACAATAACTCTGAGGAAAGCAATTAAGTTCCTCTTTTCATTTCCCGAAAAATTACGCCATCACCATTACTCTGACGTCAATAAAGTTGGGGACTGTAGTTTCATACAGCTTAAAACCCTTCACACAGGAAACACTGCATGTACATTAGTCTGCCTCAGCATCCTGTATGTACACTATTTGGTCCAATACAAATATTTCAATGATAGTCAAATTATCCTATGACGAAGAAATAGATTGTTGCTTGATTTTATTTTACAAAAAGGACATTTTATTCATAGTAGAAAACATAGAAATAGTGTAACATATATGCATTTTTACAAGCACTACAGACATAAGAACAATAGAGACGATATGAGTTTGCGGTCATCTGGAAGGAGCCTCTCACCATCCGAAGCGATTCACCAGACTGCTCTGGTCATCCAAATCTTTCTGGACCTTCTTCCTCATGTAAAAGATGGGACAATCCCGACTGTGGAGGAGGGACAGGGTTACGGTGTGCTCAGCCATGATTCTGCAGTGAAACACAGTTAAATATGTGCTGTTTATGTACCTGGTACAGAGCACATCCTCATGGAGGGAGCCCTGGCACCGCTGGCACTGAGTCCACAGGCGGGAGAAACGCTCCTCCAGTGTGTTCAGGTGGAAGATCTGAAATTCAAACCATAAGCGTTAGAAACTTATTGATAATATATTAACCCCTTAAAAACTTCAAAATAACAATTTGAGCGATGCTTTACTAGAAAGGCAAACTAAAAAGGTTTAATAAATAGAATAAATACTGGAATTTAACATTGAAATAGTCGTTCTGCTTGATCTACCATAATACATGATATTGAATCCACTTGAAGTCTCTGAGGAGCAACCAGAGGGCAATATGAATAACATTAGACAACCTTTGATTAATAGCAAAACAAAAAGCAATAAATTAAAGCTTTTATACAAACAAAGACACAACTGGAACCTTCAAATCAAATAAACTAAGCCCAGATAGTGAGAAACTGTATAAAGACTGCATCATGGCTATAAAATCTATAAGAAAAACAGAAATACCTTCTTATTTCTGTACGTAGCACTAAAAATAGTTTGGCTTATTTCAAGCGAATTGACTTTATTTTATTCATGGTAGATTGCACCTGTGGTAAGTTGCTTTTGATCAAAACATCAGATAAATGAAATGTACATGTTGTAACAGTTATTTGCCCACCTCTTTTTGGTACAGTGCAGACTCCTTCTTCTTACAGAAATCGCACACAGCGGCTGCAAAGACACACGTAGATGTTACACAGAGATCTCTGTAAAACCCCTTCGAGTCAAAAGTGGCATCTAACCAAAAAGTGAAACCACATGTTTTAGGGAAAAAGGTAATAGTAAATCTTCAAAGTCTGAGCACACATACTGTCGCTTTTGAGCACGGCTTTGCAGCCGATGCAGGTGCTCCTCTTCTGAGCGAAGGCCATGAGGCCCCCGATCTTCGAGGTCAACACCGTCCTACAGCGCGTGTGGTCGCCCTCTGAAACACACCAGGAAATCAACTTTCAGTTTTAAAGCTTTAAACACGATACACATGCCAAGTGTCATTTATTTAACTAGCATATCTATATTGCATCTTTAGAATCAGAAACAGGTTTATTACGAGGTAGGTTAAGACATAGGAGGAATTTTACTTGGTGTTGTGGTGCATATATAAAATTAAAAAAGATTAAAAACACAGATAGAAAACTATTTAGGAAGTATTTTAAGTGTATTGGCTGGACTGTACAGCATTGACTCTTGCTTTGGTTGTTGTCAAAGTAAATATTAGATTACTGAATCACGTTTTTCTAATGATAGGGCTTTAAAATGTGTCCCAAGGGATATCTTCTTTTGTTTTCCAATATCATTTCAGAAACACATATATCATTTGCACGTGTCATTTTATTTTCTAAATTAAAATAAGACTATCGTATGTGTGTGATTGTAGAATAGGGCTGCACCCAATGACCGAAATTGCATCAAAGCTTTTGAGTTAATCGAGGAACTGTTTCAGCACTATCGCAGACTCACTGAGCAAGATGTTCTCGGCCTTGCTCTCTCCCAGGATTGGCTCAAATATTCTCAGCAGGGGTTTGGACAGCTGCTGCTCCAGGTAGTATTGTGTGTCGATGGGAATGTTGTTCTCCAGCACGAAGATCGGGTCCTAAAGAGACACATGTGAAAATCAGATTATCGCCGAAAATGAACATGAATAAAAACATCGGGATGCACCCACACATCCTAGCACTTATAAAAACACCAGAAGAGATCAAGAAGAATGATTCTTGCTTATTCCTACTATTTAAAAGTAGCAACAATTAGACAAATGACAAGGAATTGGTTAAAAGGTGATAACCTAATGAAACGTGAATGGAAAAAACTTCATATCTTTGACGGAAGACTGGAAAAGTGGGTGAGGTTTACAACATTACAAACATTTCTAATGACCCTCCAGTGAGGTGACAGTTCATTTAGAATGAATGATGAATCCGTTATCTGTTAACTATACGATATTAATAGATGTTCAAACTGTATTTTTTTTCTCTTTCTTCTCATTTGTTGATTGTTATTTTTCGTATGATCTTTTAAACTGCAGTTCTCTTTGTTGTGTATGCCCTGTGATTTCTTAAAATGCAAAAAAAACAAGAGAACAGGGGTGTACAAATCAAATCAAATGATCTAGAAAAATAATTAAAGATCACTACAGACCTCTGACTTCATGTACGCTGCCACTCCCTTTGTAGCCTTGATGATGACGTACGGCACTCGGTCCCCCAGGTTCGGGGCGCTGCCGGCGTCTCTTTTCCTCATCCTGTGAAACATCAAGACGTTAGTTTGAGCGTATCCCAGAAAAACATTATGTTATATATTCATTGAAATGAGATGCTGAGTGTCACACACCTCTCGGCCAGCTCTACGTGCGCCTGTTTGTTGGAGTACTCCTGAGCCGCGCGCGTCAGCTCCTTGGTGATGACGAGCTGGCTGATGTCGATGCGGTTGCACAGCAGGTCTGAGATCACTTCTTTAGCGTGAGCCACGGCACCCTGAGGATCCCTGAAGAGACATCACAACAGCAGTGATTACTTTCATAACAAACAAACATCTAATAGTGTTGTTAAGGTTCATTGTCTGTAGATAAACTTATTTTTTTATTATAACAATAATAATACATTTGATTTATATAGCACTTTTCCTGGTGCTCAAAGCACTTAATGCTTAATTTGCTTATTGTGCCAGGTAGTTGCAGGATCATAAGGTTTTAAAAGTAAATGTATCTGATGGATTGTAAAGTGAATAATGGCTGAAATCAATGGATAACTTCTGCACTGATGTTTCATTAAACATTACAGAATGTGTGTGTCTGTACCTGTCTATGAGGCATTTCTGCAGACAGGTGTTGATGAGGTTAGCCACCAGAGGGCAGTTGTCTCTGCGGACCGTCTCAATGCCTTTACAGTCCATCTTTTCATAAGTGTCTGCACTTCCGGAGAAATACAGGCCTGCGTAGCGCTTCTTGTTGATCAGCAGGTATGGGTAGTACACCTGTGGAAGGGACAAAACAAATCTCTAATGAGGGGGACGCTCAAACTCTTCTATGGTCCAAAATCATGGCTTTTACGTTTTGTTCTCAAGCACGTGGGCCAGAAGTGCCCATTCAAGACACAGATGTTAAAATGACTGAGACAAATGCTTTGATAAATCTAAGTGGACAGAAATGTTACCTTCTCAAACTCCAGTTTGATGGGAGGTGTGAAATGAGTCGACACCCACTCTGCCGCCTCCCTCCCGATGTTCATGGCCTCCTGCACTGTGGCAACTCCGAGCTTAACCATGACGGAGTCTGTGTCCCCATAAATAACCTTTAAAACATTTAAATAAAAACATTTAAACAACGCATACACAAAGAGGGTCCATTACAAAACTTCAGATAGGAGGTTCCAAAGCCTTCATACATTAAAAGGTGTTAACTAAAAGTAAGGAACAAAAAAAGATAGGAGTTCAGCTCAGTAGATATCGGGCACAGTTCCTCACCTTGGCATCACCTTGGTAACCATTGGCAATGGTGTACTTGGACTCCACCAGCTGTTTGGTTTGCTCGATCATCTGTCTTCCAAAACCTGTGACGCTCTAAATGAGAAAAAGGATGATTTAAATTAAAAAATCACTAAATGATCAGTGGGGTTGAAACCAGATGCCATCAGCAATGAAGGAACCGCATCATCATGTCTTTCAATGCCAGGGACAAAATTGCCTTAAAGCTTTTTATCTCAAAACAGCTCATGTAGAAACAGCTCTCTGTGGGGGTGTAACCAAGTCAACCTTCCACAGAACAGCAAAAAACCCAGACCGTTGTGGCTGATTGTTACACATTTGTTCCACCTGTTCTGGTGCGTCTATCTACACACAAATCTTTGCTCTACATCTTTGTAGTTTACCCTCCCAGCTCTGACTTTAGCATGAATTAAAAACAGCTGTGTTCGAGCCAGAATTGTAAACATTTGGTATTTTTAGAAACAGCATTTTGTGGGTTAAGGTAAATGTTTAAGCTAAGGAGAGGTTAATGTTGATTAATGTATGGAAATAAGTAATCCATATATGTAGACCTATGCCTAATAGTATTATGTTGAATCCATTTTAAACTGCAAGCTGCCATAATGAAACCAAATGTATTGAAAACCCCCTCTGTTTGGTTTCCAAAAAATGTATCAAAGGAGAACAAAGTACATTAACTTTAACACCGATATGAGACCCAGAGTATAGTGCCCACCTGTGAGATCTCCAGGCAGGGCAGCTTGCCGATCTGAGCCCCCGTGAAGCCGTACACGGAGTTTGCACTGATTTTGAGAGCCAGCTGCCGGCCGTCCAGCACCTGCCTCTTGAAGGGGTCCGTCTCATTCTTTAGCTCCGTTTTGGCCCTGTGGACAAAGTGGGAGAGAATGAGAAGGAAGCCATGTCTGGTATTTTATAAATGCCTTCCTGTGTTTTGTTCAGGTACCCCCACCATTAGGCCTGTAAAGTAAATGCATTCATAGTTGATCTAATCAACAGATCTGTAAAACTGTGTTTACCAGAGATTTGCTTATAAGTTTCTTGAAAATAACCATTCAGCATGAAAAAAGGATTTAAGAACTGACTGACGGATTTAAGAAATCTGAGTCACCTTAAACCAAATCAACTAGTTGATGAAGACGGGCCCCCTACACATTTTGTTATTTTTCCAGAGACACTAAAAGGGTTACCAGCAAGTAAGATTAGATAGATAGGTACAGTGGGACTGGAGCCGTCTACAGAATTAGTTCAGGTTGGTTTAATTGAGTGATTTATTTGACATACTTCTTCCTGGCAGACAGCAGGTTCTCCAGGATCTCAGGCAGGAGTCCTTTCCTCACAGAGCTTTTCACAAACATGTCCCCAGTGGGAGTCTTGATGAAGTTCTCTGGAGCGAGGCTGAAGAAACACAACAGTTTCAGATGTTAGCTCATTGATAACATACATGAACACTGTTAAGTTTTATGTGATTAATTGTAAATTGAAGTCTAAATTAATAATACAAGCTGAAGATGGAAGTCATTGACATGTTCCAGGTTAAATCTTTTTAGAGAAGTGATGTTAACAAAAGTGTAAACTATTAACTAAAATAAGCCTACGGGCTGGTTAAATGTATATGGAAATTCCCATTTAGCTCATAAGATTTAACAGTGGCATAAATTCGACATTTTGCGATCCACATTTGAGCTGCAAGAAGACGAAGTTTAGAGAAACAAAATATATTCAGAGCCTTTTAAACCTTTACAATCCAGAAGGGTTCATTTAAAATGTTTGCAGTTTGACACAGATCAAAAACGAATTCTCTTTTGGATTTTAAACACACTCAAGCAAAATAACTTCTGACCTCAGTTGTTCCCCTGAGCCTTTCTGCAGCAGGGTGGTGTAGCACAGATTGTGAGCCATCATGATGGACGGATACAGGGAGGAGAAATCCAGGGTAGCAATGGGGATGCTATAATACCTACACAGAGAAAAAGACGGTAATGGACAGGTATGAGAGAGGCTTAACACTGAGAGCAGATAGGAGTCATACTCACACTAACAGCAGATGTACATACCCTTTCTCCGGCTCAATGACAGTCGCTCCAGTGTAGTCTTCTCCTACTTCTGTCTTCACAACAGGCATGACAAGGTCCTGCTTCATGGCCTAAACATACACAGACACAGTTTTTTTATGCTTGAATCTGTACATATACATACAGTAACTCTCCCATGTGTTTGCCTTGGTTACCTGTCGCAGCAGCTGAGAGACAACCTTGATCTGCTGCCCTCTGGAGAGCAGGTAGGTGAGAGGAACGCCCGTCACTCTGGCCATCTCCATGTAGTTAATCACACACATCAGCTTCTGCAGCAGGCGCAGCGGGAGGTAGGCGTCTTTCAGGCAGTAGACGGCTAGACGACGACGAGTCTGCTCGTTGCCATTCTGTGGTGGAGAAAAACAAAAAGGAGGGAAGTTCATTTTGAATCTTTTCATGACAGCAATCTCTCTTCCAGATGCAACAAGTTTCACCAGTTTGTGCTTTACCTGCAGATCAGTGATGATGGAGTGCTGCACATCCTCTTTCTGTTCTTGTAGGAAGTGGTAACTCACAGCGTTCAGTGTGTAGGAGCGCAGTTTATAATCCCTGAGAAGAACCTGAGACAATAATACTAATCAGACTGTGCTCAATCAAAGCGGTCTTACTCAACTGCTTGTAACTTAAATATTGTTAAAGTTGCTGTTGAAGCTGACCTGCAATAGATCAAACTGAACTCGGCCCTCCATGTTAATGATCTTGTTCTCTCTGCGGCCCATCTGCTTGCTCTGGAAGTTTAAGTCTCGCATGACTGACTTGATGCCTCGCACTCGGCCGAGGTAGGGAAAGAGATTCACCTGAACACCAAAAACATGTTTAAGTGAGTTAAAAGACAAAACAGGAATGTCTTACACAAATATGACCATTAATACATTCTTCTGGAGGTTGTGCTCATGTATTTTTGTGCATTACTGTTAATCTGGTGATTTTAGGCCTTGTATTGCATGTAAGTATTTCACAAAATGTGGCACCTTTAAAGTAGCTGCCCTGTTGATCAAGTAGGGAAAGTCAAAGTTCTGGATGTTGTATCCTGTGACGATGTCTGGGTCCACTGTCCTCAAAAACTCGGCCCAGCTCTGCTCACAGAAACACAATGACATAACAAATTATCAACAAAACACGTCTAATAGTTATGTTTTTCAGGCCTTACTGAAGCTAGTGTGCGTACCTGCAGTAGCTGTTTCTCCTGTGTGAAGCACAATATCTGAGAGCCCACGATGCTGGCACAGGACTGGAGCGTGAACACGGTGCGGATGAAGGGCTCTGACTCACCCTGACGCTGCACCATAGAGGCTATCTGAATCACAGGGTCTTTGTCTGCCTCTGGGAAGATTCCTGGGAACAAAAATGTTAACATCAGAGTCAAACTCTGCATTTTCTTTTCGTCGAGTAAGTAGGGTAAAGTAAGGTCAAGTATATCTGATCTCGTGGCCAAAAATATGTAATGTGTTTTAGTATGCATGCTGTTTAGAGTGCAATAGAGAATGAAACCCACCTTTTCTTCCTGCACACTCGATGTCGAAGCTGAGCACCCTGAGCGGAGCGATCCTCTGCCAGTCTCCCTCTGTAGGGTGACTTATCAGATCTGTCCATCCCACATCCACCTCGTACTGACACAGGCTCTCCTGAGGGACAACACAGGGGGAGGAAGATGATCAACATTGTAAAAGCCTGACAGAACAGTTTTTTATGAATCACTCAAAGTCTATCAACAGACCAATCCGTGTTATGCAACAAGTTCAAATGTGCACTTGAACCTACCTTGCTGGGGTATCTAGAATCTGTTCCCCCCACGAGCTTCTCTTCACGCACTCTGAACTTGCTTTTGGGAAGTTCAATCCAGCAGCATCCCACCACGTCACAGTCCACCATAAACCTAACAAAGAGAGACTTGTTAGGCTTAAAATAACAGCTATAGTTGCTTTAATACAGATGTTTTGATAAAAAGTCTTATTTTTTTTTTTAAACAACAACTTTAGAAGCAACACGTTATCATATCATCTTTACCATAATACCCAACGACACACACCTTATCTCAAAATCGATGTTGGCCTCATAGGATTGGTAGCACTGGATGGGGAAAGGTCCGTACTTGAAGCCCTGCTCCAGCAGCCTCTTAGCTGGGGCGATGAGACGTGGCATCGCCATGGTAATCCGCAAAAAATCCAAAATGCGTTTCCCATGGTAACCGTACATGCCTGCAAGTGTAAATTGGGAAAGTTAAATAATTTGTAACTAGGATAAGAAATCCTGTTTCATATTGATCGGATTAAGGAACAGACTTGTGAGTGTTAAAGATCCCTTCACACACTCACTCTCTTTGCGGGTGATGTCCACAGCCAACACTGTGACGGATATGTTGTCCTTATTGGATCGCATGTCCTTCAGGACAACAGAGTTCAACTCTCTTTTAAATTCACCCAGGAAATCTGATTTGAACCCTTTTCAAAAGGAAGCAGAAAGAGGAAACATTGTAAGATTTAATCAAATTGATCAATTATTTTAGGCTAAAAAACTGGAATCATTCAGATAAAGTGCTTGCCAAAAAGATAGATTCTACCGAGAGAATGTTCAATGGTAATATACTGAAAGCTATTGTACTGCGCAGATGTATATTATTTGAATATTCAAAGATGATATGTATTGACAAAGTAATGGCAAGTACTCACCAGCTGGTGCAGGAACATAGAAGTAAGGCGCAAAACCGTGGACATGGCAGCACACACTGTTGCCACTGTCTGTCACCCCAAACATTCGAATAATCGGGACTGTTCCCTGAGACTGGCCGGGCATGCCTGCCACCGTCGGCCCTGCAAAGTGGAAACAAAAAAGATGGAAATTTGTCTTACATACAGCGACTGTATTTAAGCAGGTGATCCGTTTCTACACTCATCAAGTCATTTAGTTCCAAACAACAAAGAAAAAAAGATGACTGGGTTATTGTTTATAATTACCTAAATAATAGTCGAGATCAATCTGCTGAAACACCAAACTTTCTGATGACGGGTCCAGTGAAGCGGCAATAGGCCGCCGCCAACGAGGGTTCAGGTCTGCTGAAAAGAGGTCACCTGAAAAACAAAGCGGATAGACAGAAGTTAAACAAGTGCATTATTCATTATTCTGAAAAGTATAGCCAACAACTGTTGAAGTATTTGAGAAATCGAATCAACACAGTGAAGGTAATTTCCAGGAACAATCTTAACTAAATCCACAGTCTGTTATTGTTAGAACACAGTTGCATTATTCACAATGCAAAGCGATGCTCAACCTGCTTATGCATGAAATTCAGGGCAAAGCTGACAAACTAAGCAAACTTAATTTACTCAAGACATCACTGTATTACTAATTTGGATCTAGCAGCCACACATATTACTTACCTAAAATCAGAAAAATCACACCGTAAAATAACATTATTATTATTATTATTATTATTCGACAGATAACTAGGTTCTGCAGAAAGATATTGTGTGTGGATGCGCCAGTTTAAGAAATTATTGAGCGTCCATGTTTGCCATATAAACTACACTCAGGTCTACAGTTTAACAGTTTAAATACAGTTTGACATATCATTTACATAACTCAATAATCTCTTCCTTAACCAGGAAAACCATTGTACTTCTGCCACCTATGACTGTGTGCTTTTCTGTCCAACACTTACCTACAGGAATAACATCATGCCCTGCCTGCCCCTCCATCTCCTCTGACTCCATCTCTGCTTCTTCAAACATGGACAACTCCTCTTCAAACTGCGATGGACTATCCTCCCATTCACCAGCAGGTTTCCCCCGTTTGGCCTGGGACGCACCGCCAAGTTTAGAGCCACCATTGCGTCTTTTAGAATCCATGCCTGCAAGAAACATTGGAGGGAAAAGACAAGTTATACGGATGATTACAGAGAAAGAAATAGCTTGACTTGGTTAAGCAGGCACCTATGATAGCAGAGCAATACACCCTGAATGATAGTAGTTATATTAGTGAGTGTAATCAGAATCTGAATATCAAAGTCCTCCTGTACTACCTTAAGAGAGTATTACCACCTGCAATGCAAAATATTATGATAGATTACAACTGAATTGACTTTGCTTGGGTTAACATTCCTTGTACTGTTAGGGTACATTTGGTGTGTTTTGCATATAGTCTGAAATTAAAAAGCTATGGGTTTGGATTGACAGTCAATAAAAAGGGGACAAAAGTAAAGTGCAGTAAGTGATAAAACATTTTGTAGTATCCAAAATTGTAAGCAGTGTAATTCTCAAAGGATCTGATGAAGTTAAACACAATACCAAAAAGAAAGGAGAAACATGAACAGAAAAAGAGGAGACAACATTTGCAAAAGTAAAGTATTTAGCGACAAAATTAACAAAAGATGCGTTGTTGTTAATGTCATAAACAGGGGGAGGTGGAATGTAACCATCTGGATGTCAGGTGGTTGCACAAACAAATGAGACAACCATGCACACTGCACAGTATGTATTGTAGCCCATTAGCCGTGTAACTAGCATGCTGTTATACTGTAACTGCACGCAACACATTATCCAGTAGGCATTATGTACATTAGTGTAAGCTGCATTGTGTGTTCTCAAGCAATGCCATTTCAGTTAAGTCCACTCGTGGTTAAAGTTGATAACTTATGCACGTGTTAATTATGTACTTGTATATTCAACAGCTCCCTGCCAGATTTAATATATTTTAACCTCAGTGTTACAGCAGTATAGTTAATGCAAGTTCATTTTCGGGGAGACTACAGGCTGTTTTCTTTTGTTATAAGCTATAAGCAAGCTAGCAAGCTCCAGAGTAACCAAAACAGACCATCGCGCCAAAGCTAATCTTCCTCACATGCAGCACAGATCTGACTCTTTACACTGACAACTAACAACAGCGGGTACGTTTCTAATAAAGTTATAAATACCTATCAAAGTTACTCCTTCACAACAGCCCCCGACTGACAACAACTCCCGCCACTATCCTTCAATTTGTGAACTTTCACCGATGAACGCGGGGAAAACTTGTTTCGAGGACCAACAGCAAAAGGAGTAGACAATGACGTCACCGAAAAGGCGGAAACTCATTGGTAAAGACCGTAAAGACAAGGAAGTAAAACACAGAGTGACTGTCCCCTGCCAATTAAAAAAGACCGTGTTCCCGGCAAATTTACGTCAAAGCGTACGCAAGGTGAGGGAGGGAAAACTGCCCCCCCCCCCGTTTATATTGCATTTGTATTCAAAGCATTACGTCTTATCATGAATCTCAACTTGTGGCCTGTACTACGAAGCAGGATGGGATTAACTCAGAGTTTTCGGTCCTAAAGGACGCTGATTCACTTACCGGTGTATATTATCTCCATGGTAATTTACAGTATCAGTCAAAAGTTTGGGCACACCTTCTCATTCGAAGGTTTTTATTTATTCTTATTAATTTCTACATTGTAGATTAATACTGACGACATCCAAACTATGAAAGAACACATGGAATGATCTAGTAAACAAAAAAGTGTTAACAAATGCCTCATGAAGCTGACTGAGAGAAGCCAAGAGTGTGCAAAGCTGTCATCAAGGCAAAATGGGGCTAATTTGAAAAATCTAAAATATAAATAATATTCAGATTTATTTTATTTATTATTAATTTTAATTTGTTTACTAGATCATTCCAAATGTGTTCTTTTATAGTTTGGATGTCTTCAGTATTAATCTACAATGTAGAAATGTGTTAAAATAAATAAAAACCTTCGAATGAGAAGGTTTGTCCAAACTTTTGACTGGCACTGCATATCTGCTATTCTTTTTTTTCACTTTATCTGCTGTTGTAATCATGAACATTTCCCCGTTGCGGGACAAATAAAGGATTTCTTTTATTACAAACTCACAGAAAACAAAAATCAATAGAATCATATTTTCAAGTTAAGAATATATAAGAGGCTTTCGAAGGCTAAATTATCCTATGATTTAGTTTCAGGTTCTTCGCTTTAAACTCTCTTTAGGATGGAATATCCTAGATTAAGATTTAGTGAATGAAAATGCATAAATATCGATGCCCTCTAGATGTCAGTGACCAGACATTACAATCTTTTCATTTAAACCAGTGCACTCATCACTGTTTGTCTGTACATTTCCCTCAAAGTTGTTGGGGCTTTCTGTCACCCTATCCAGACACACATGTACATACAAAGGAAGAAATCAGAGGTCAGAGGTAGGGTTGCAAAATTCCGGGAATTTTCAAAGATGGAAACTTTCCACGGGAATTAACTGGAATTAACGGGAATAAACGGGAATTTATGGGAATAAACTGGGAATTTTCTAAATTGAAGGTTGGCTCTTCATAGGGAACTTAAATATAGTTGGGGTAAGTATATTTTAGTATAATCTTGACTAAAACAAACAGATGCCATTCAAGTACACTTGAATATCCATGCCATAGCACACTGCTTACTGCATGGCTATTGAGACCACACAAAGGTTCGCAACAGGCTCACAAATGTGAGAGTGGAAAAACTGGTTGGCATTCGGGCAAACCTAAGGCTCTTTGAGCCTGACACAGCCATCCTCAAGAGGAAGAGGAAGACTCAAGTTGGATGTTGATGAGGCCCAGGAAGAGCCCGTTGACTGAAAGGGTTTAGCAAAAATGCAGAGGATCGCTTGAAGGACGATTTGCATGTTTAAGGGCTCTTTTCATTTAACATTTGAATGGGACTTTGTGGGGATTTTTGGATGGGGGGTGCATTTTTGTTCATTTTTTAATGAGTGGGGTTGGGGGGGATGAGTAACATTTAACTCAACATTCCTGTTTTTGTTCTTCAATGAAACAAATAATTGTTCAATAAAATAATAAAAACGTGTTCTGTTCTACTTAAAAAAAAATCTGTTGAAATGTCATGTTTTTTTGTTTAATTTTGCATCAAATATTTCCAAAATTCCCCAGCTTAACTTTCCATGGAAACTTTCCGGAAATTTACCGGAAACTTTCCGCCCCTTTGCAACCCTAGTCAGAGGTCACCGCAGACCAACAGATGATAATGCTTTGCTCAGTGACACCTCAGCTGTGCAGGTCTTTACAAAACTCAAAAGTCATAAATCACAGGCCCACTCTATCATGACTAATATACCTGTGGTCCAGCCTATAAATGGTGAAGGTGTTGGACCAGGGGTGTCCAAACTTTTTTAATTGAGGGCCACATACAGAAAAATATACAAAGGGCTGTATCGAAGGGCCACTCACTAGAGGTATATTGCCTCATAAGTTCAGTTATAAGTTAGCAAAATCAATCAAATGCAGGTAAATTATGCTTGTGAGTGTTGGCAGCTCATCCCTTAAAACAGAAGCCTCAGATTGATTATAATAAGGAGAAATAGGAAGGGTGTATTTCAAGCTTGTTATGTAAACAACGGCCCCTACACACGGCGGCGTGCGTTGAAGCTTGCCGGCGGGCGTGTCTGAAGCTCGACCAACAACCAATCACATGAATCTCCCGCCCCGGACACACAAGCACGCGGTTTGATTGGCTAGAGCTTGTACTGGCATATGATTCGATTGGCTGACGCTTCCGTCGAAGCTTCAAAAGTAGAACATTGCTCTACTTTTGAAGCGAGCAACGCAAGCAAAGCGAAGCTTTGCTCCCACAATGCAGTTCGGCAAAGCGTGACGTCACCCCATTCAAAGTGAATGGGCAGAAGCGTTGAAGCTTCAACGCACGCCGCCGTGTGTAGGGGCCGTTAGTCATTGGGCTTTTTTCTTATCAACTAAGAAAATGTTTCCAACTATAATTGCATTTATTTGAAAAGTGGTCTTATTAACATATGAATACTACTGTGTAATATATTTGTACATTTATATTTAAGAAGTACAATATAAGACAAGCACAAGTTTCATTTGTGGGCGATATCCCATTATACTTTTTGAATTTGCTGAGGGCCGATTCAAAATGGTCCGCGGGCCACATTTGGCCCCCGGGCCGCAGTTTGGACACCCCTATGTTAGACCAGGGGTTCCCAAACTTGACCCCCAAAATAACTGCATTCTACAGATGGCAAGTCCGCCCCTGAAAAATGTCTATGCACACGTTATTATTAATAATAGTAATATACAAATAACACAGTGTTTCCCATACATCGACATACAAACCCCACAGATCCTCAACTCCTCAATCTCACTCATTAAGGCGAGACACGGCAGGCGGCCCCCACTTTGGGAACCCCTGTGTTAGACAGACAGGTGGCAGCCTGTGTAAAGGGTTAGAGCAGGATAGATCACAGAGATATGTAGAGGGGTTGGGTGTCTTAATGTCACTAGTCACGTTGTATTCTCACAACTATGCTCCTATGACCCTTAGAAGACATTATAAATAACTCTCTCCCTCCTGATTAGAAAGAAAATGTTGCCTGGCTTCCCATGACTCCCCCTTTTGTATGGATGAAAGATAATTCACACCAACCACGGCATCCCCCTTTAACCTCTGCTCAGCCAATGGCGTCTTTCAGCTGAGGAAGACGCCCAGTTTCCGTGTCGTCGTGTGCAGAGGCGGAGATAAAGAGGATACTGAGGCCAATAGGAGTGCAGCTCATGAATAATGTCACAGCAGATCTTGCGCATTCACCAACCAAAACCTTCTTCCTGCAACTGTCCCTCAATCTGACAGCAAACGCACCAAACCAATGTGGATCGCTGGCATTTAACTAGAGCCACCGCCCCCTTTTTTCTCACTGTCCGATGGTTTTAATGTTTTTGGACTGACTGCGACAGCTGCCCAAGTGTTCATCATCTTCGTGAAGTTAGGACAAAACTGAAGGGTGAGCAGACATCCGTGTTTTTATTCTCAATTACTGAATACTTCCTAAAACAGACTGCGGCGCGCACTAGGACGCTGTCCTTTTGCGCGTGTCCGCTGCTCCAGGAGATGCATTTTGTCACGTCCGCTCCTCCGCTCGTGAGAAATACACACAGCAGCATGCATATTCAGCCGGAAAGTCTGAAGTCGGGTCGATAGTGATGTTGTTTCACCTGCTAGTCTTCAGCCATCGCCCGAAGCAGTGCGTCCTCCATTGGGACGATTTTTGGACAAAGCCTGAATTGAATATGTTCCTTTCCCGAGACCTGTAGGCCCACTGAGCAGTTCAAATCAAAATATGACTTTGACAAGGGCATGAGGACGATAATTATAGTGAATGCATGTTCATGTGAGTGTCAGTGATTCATTATAAAGCATCCATAAAGTGTGGCTTCCCAAGCAGGTAAGGGTTCCCATACAAAGAGACCCTAAAATGAAATGCAATGAGCAACAGTTCAGCTTTTACACTGTGGTATTTACTCTCGGTTTAAGGACAGTGGTTTGTTTATCTGTTTGTGTCTCCATCCATATCAGACTAAACTATACAACTGATCTCATGGGCTCGTTTAAAGTCCCTCTCTATAAAAAAACGTGTTTTGCACTTCATTACTTCACTTGGATATCCCTGCGTCACTGTGCATTATATTGTGTGTGCTGTTGAAGTTCAGATGTATTTGCATATACATAGAGTCTAGATGTTGGAGAAAGAGTAAAATAAACATGTCTGCAGTGGATATTGAAGATATGATCTGATGACACGCATGCATACAAATGGTGAAAAGTTTATTTGGCAATATGTTTGTCATTGATTTGATGGCACTTTTTATTTCGATTGGTGTCCTGGCCTGTATCATGTTGGACAGTCAGTGAGTCTAAACTAAACTCTAATCTCGAGTCTAAACTCCCTTTTGTCTGATATCAGTATCAGTATCAGTTCAGGACAATCACTCAGACATTTGAGATCAGCTCATTGGTTAGATTCACTGATTGAATTTCTGGTGAGCATGTTAAAACCACTATATAGATAGTATTGTTTTACAGGATTAAGAGCATTTCCTCTGTGACACAATCGAACAACAACCGTTAGTTTTTGGGAGTTTTCTCCACATGCGTCAACTTGACATGATTTCAACATTTCATAGTAGTGTATCATCAATCACTGGATCATGTTTATACCTGATCCGTGCCCTCGTTTGTGTCTTTCTTCA